CTTTTCCTAAGGTTTTATTTGTACATTTTTATAGTTCACAGTCTGTCAGTCAAATGTTTTCTGGTTTGGATATTGGCAGATAAATTCTACTTTCTCTAGGGACTGTGCAGCCAAATAAAATTACTTTTTTGGTTTCAGAAGTGGTTGAATAAGTAAAAATAGTGAACAAACAAATTCTAATTTCAAAACGGGTTGGCAGAAATTTTAAATCTCAGTGTCCATGTATGTATCCGTAGAGGTAACGTGGGAAGAAAATGCAAAGAAACACTATTTCTTCCTAGACTGGCTTTATTTTAACAAGCCCATGTTATCAATAATGGAGGCTACCATGTTTTTTGCAGAGGATAAAGCAGAAACCAGTCTCAAAATGTGCTATTTTGAGAACAGTGAGCATGCTGAAGTCAGGGATAATCAGGGAAGAAACCTGAGGAATCTCAGTCCAGACCTGTGATCAGTTTGGTAAACTTCAGCTGTCTCAAATGTAAGTCTGACACATATATAAATAAATATAGATAAATAATAAATAAAGGAAAGTGTGGCTTGGGCTTGCTTTGTTTTTTTAAGTGTTTCAAGAGATATCTACAAAGCCTCTGTAAAAATGGAAAAGTACAAGGTGTACATGGATGAAAAGCAGTGTGCAATGTGCTGCTGCCACCCTAAACACTGTGCAGGGCACACACCACAGTGGGAAATCCTTCATCCACAACTGCTAAGAGAGGACTGAAAAATATTGTTAGTTATGAAAGGGTTAAACTGTAAGATAGCTGCTTCAAGGAAAGGATAATCTATAATTTAAGTCCAGAGGGTGAAGCAGCTCTTTCATAATGTAAGTAAAAGCTGTTATGCCGGTGGAAAAGTATGTACACTGCCTGCAGAAGGAATGATTATTTTGGTTTTTCCATTATAGTAGCTTGCACAGAGGGGCTGACAAAGCAGCACTCTCTGCTGAGGAGGCTGGGAGGGGAAGGGGCACAAGCATACTGTGCTAGAGGAGGGGGGATTTGCTCTGCCAGCACTGCTGCTGGTTCCTTTGGCTGCCTTCTACCATATTAACTGGGCCTATTTATCTCCAGAGTGAATTTCATTCGAAGAGCAGTAATCTCCCAAGAAGATGAAATGCAACTGGCATTTTAAAAAATAAGAAAAAAAGATCACACCGTGCTTTGTTTCAGAGTTTGAGATTTGAATGCCAGACAGGCTCTACCATTCCTGTCATTCCTATCAAAGGCCGTGTATGTTGAAATGCTGAAGTGGAAGGACTGCATGGAAAGCAGCCTTTTTAAGAAGCTGAGGTTTTGTAAGTACAGAAGCTGAGATGGGAGTGTAACAAAGGCTCTGTGTTGTGCTGTTGCACATCAGAGCCAATAAAACCCTAAGGGGCACATCTCTAGTACCATGTCTAGCAGATTATGCATGCAACTCCAGTTGCCAGTAATGAGTTGTGTGGCTAATCTGTCATGCACAGCACTGCACAGTTCCCCTTCCCCCAAGGGGCTGAGCTCATGGCATTTTATTTTCCCCCCAGGGTGCTGAGCACCGTTAGAGTCTCTTCAGTTAGTGGGATAGGCAAACCCTGTGTTCCACCTGGCTGCTCAGTCAGAAAACAGAAGGGAAAATCATCTTTAACAACAAGTCCAGCCAGCACAGACAGGGCTGCTAGAGCCCAGCATGGTTAACATTCAGGGGCACTTACCTATCTACAGTGACATGCCATGAATTAATAAGAGGCATTAGAAATGGCCCTAATGGAGCACAGAAAAGCCTGACCCTTGTTTTATTTTCTCACTGATTTAACGATCCAAGTGTTTTCAATTTGCAACTCAAATGCTTATTTACAAAAAAATTGCCAGCATGACAGAGTCCTCTTGAAATATGAAAACTCAAGTCATGCTCCAGCTCTGACAACATCACACACACACACATTCTGTCACGCATCAGCTTTTGCTGTAATTGGAGCAGAGTCCAGGCTGCTGGGCTCTAGCTGCACTAGGTCTGTGAGGCTAATGTGATTACCTGCTTTTTAAAAAAAAAGTGAAAGAAGAATCTTTGCCACAATACCCACCTAGCAAAATAGTAGGAAAAAAAAAAGCTTTTTAAAATAGCTGGTTTATTTCACCCTTCAGAAGGTGAATTTCCCAGGGTTCCTCTGGTGAATTTTATCAGAAGCATGAGTCTTTGAAGGTGAGTTATTAAATCAGCAGTTAATATTTATACTAATATATGTGTTAAAATTGTTGTAATAGCAGTGATATTCCCGTGCAACGATAGGACTTTGGTAATGGGGGGTTTAAGAAAAAAAAATGTAAATACTAGGAGTTTGAGCACTAAAATCTCCAGAGTTATTTTCCTACAAATTAAGTGTCTCAGCCTTGTGTTCATGGTCCTGGTCAGGTACAGGCTGTTCTGCACCCAGCCTGCTGTGCTCCTCACTGTACCCAGGCTCGCTTCCATTCAGCCCCAGCAGCTGGAGCCCAGCTCTCCAACACAAGGCTGGGAAGTGCCATCAGCTTCAATTTCCCAGCTGCTGCCTAAGACAGGAGCAGATTTTCCCAAGCCTGCAGCATAATAAGGGGTTTTGGTTATTCTTCTGCCAGCTTTTCAATACTTAGAGATTGGACTCCCACTAGACTGGGTGTTGTACATGTTTCAAAAGAACTATCCATGCCCCTGGCAACACACATTTTTCCTACATGCATGGACAGATGCAGCAAGCAAACAAGGAGAGCAGGAGGTGGCTGTGAGCACAAACCCATCAGATAACAGAGGAGGAGGGGGACAGAGGTGCAAAGGCTGGCCAGACTCCACAGGTGGGATGGGTTGTGTGGAGAAGAGGAGAATCAAATTGTGTTGAATAGAGGGAAGGGGAACAGTGGAGCAGATGTGACGAAAGAACGGAGTAGACACCAAAGGGCTGCAAACCCCAAGGCACTGGTCTCAGGTTTGGTTGAAAACAGAAACTCCTTCCTTACAAGAGCAGATGAGAAGAGTATCAGTAAAAAGATGCCAATCAGTAAGAATGTCAGGCTGGGGGAGTGTGTTTGGAGAATGATATATTTTGTTTCTCCCTCACAATGACATGTTTTGAAAGCTGTTTTAAAACAAACCCTGAGTGTTCAACAGTGGACGGCACCCTTGATTTTTTTTTCTGGGCAGGGTGATAGGAGAAGGGGATGGAATGTCTGATGTGTATTGATAATAGTTCACAGGGAAGAGGCATCCAAGACCCAAATCACACTGGCCACATCAGAAATATTTTTATCAATGGGTTATTTGAATATTTACATTTTGAAGAAAGAAACTTTATTTGCTCTGCACACCAGGGACTTCTTGGCCAGTCTAAACAGCAAAGGTTTCTAATGTAAATAATTGTTCTTCTGCCTTGTGTCATGCATGAGGATTAGAGGTGGGAAGTCCCTCAAAGAAGAGAAGAGAGTGCCTTGAAGAAGATAAGCCTCAAAAGCGACAATGGAAGTGGCACATGAGGTTTTCCCCTCTGTTGCCCTCCTTGTCTCGTGTATACCTGTGCACCTCCTGGGGAGGGATGCTGGGATTTTAGCGTTTTATGTCAGGTCATTTATTTTGGTAAACTGTGTATATTAGCTGAGGAGGGAGCAGAAGGCTGGCTCAGAGCATCTGTCCTTGTCACTATGTCAGCCGATACCTGGTTCCCACCTGGCAGTAGGTGATGTCTTGTGCACTGATGGGCTGCTCCTGCCTTTTTTCTTCTTCTTTTCTTTTTTGTTTTTGGGGTTTTTTTCGCCCTTAAGCTGCTTGTGGAAACCTGCTATGTTCTGAAAACAGCCACTTTTTTATGCCAGCCTTCTGGCCCAAAAACCTAAGGCTTTGTGACTGTGGTGTCTGTCTCATGATTATTGTTTCAGGGCCAGTAACATTGTAAAAGTTCTGTTTCAGAAATTGTGACTAGAGCACGTCAAAGGAAATCACATTGAGATGGACTGTTCTGACTGTAAATGAGAAGCTTATTTTGCCAGGATCTGGTCCTCTTTGCACTCCTGGGCTGTCAGGTCTTGAGCCGACAGCAGCACTCTGGAATCTTACTGGAAAATCTGCACGGGCTGCTCTTCAAGAGACTTCAGAGGAAGGAGAAATCTTAGTAACTTCAGTTAATTTGGTGAATAGCTAATGCATGTCATAAAACAAGCTGAGGGCTGGAAGATCACGTTGAAGTTCCCATTTCTGACGTAACTTTAAAATAATCATATGCAAATTAATGATGCATTATTGAAAAGAAAAATAAAAAAACCAAAACCTGAAATTTCTGGGGCAAACTCTACTTGGCGTGGGACTAAGATGATACCCATTTACCTGTGCATGTATACACAAAGAGCTGAATCAGCTCTAAAAAGCCCTCATAATAGCGGGTCTGTGCAACCTTCCTCCAGCTGTAATGTCTGTGTGTCCCTGTGGGACGGGGCACTGGGGACCTTCCCAAGCCGACCTTGAGCTCCCAGCTAGAGCCCGGTGCGAGCGGGCGAGGCCCTTCACTCGCGGCTTTCCGCCGTGGCCTCGGCCGCTCGGGGAGGGCATTTCGGACCCTTTCGGCAGCGATGGAAGGCCCTGCGGGTCCCCCTGCCCCTTCGCCCGGGCTCTCCTCGATGCCGGGCCGCGGTGTCTCGGCAGGGAGCGGGGGCTCTGCCCGGGCCCGGGGGCAGCCGCCCGCCCTCTCCAGCACTGGGGGGCGGTGGCTCCCGTCCCGCCAGAGCCCTCCGCTGCCACCCAGGGGCGGAGCCGCCGGTCCGCCCCCTCCCGCCGCCGCTGCCGCCGCCGCAGTGGCCGCGCAGCCCCGGGGCAGCGGCAGGGAGCGGAGCCGGGCTGGGCTGCTGCGAGCGGGGAGACGCCGCCGCCGCCACGGCAGGGACGGAGCCGGCACCGGGGCATCCTCCCTTGGCTGTCTCCCTGCCGCCCGCCCGGCATCGCCGCGGCGGAGGGTGCTGCCAGCGCCGGCAGGGAGCGGCGGAGCCCCGCCGGGCTGCGCGAAGATGCTGTCCTACAGCGTGCTGGACGCCAACGTGGTGGACGTGGAGAAGCGGAGGAACCCCTCGAAACACTACGTGAGTGCCGGCGGGGCCCGGCGGGGCGCGGGGGCGCACGTGTGAGGGGGGACGGGCCGGGCGCGGAGCGGTGGCGGTGCCCGGAGCGGAGCCCGGAGCGGTGCCCGGAGCGGTGCCCAAAGCCGTGCCCGGTGCCCGGAGCGGTGTCTGCAGCCGTGCCCGGAGCGGAGTCCGGTGCCCGGAGCGGTGCCCAAAGCCGTGCCCGGAGCGGTGCCCGGAGCCGTCCCTCGCCTCATGTGGGCGAGACGCCGGCCCCAGGTGAGGCGCCCGCGTCCTCCTGGTCTGGAGGTGCGGCTCCTCTTCCTCACCCTCTTTTACCCAGTTTGGTTCTTGGCTCGTTTCAAGGTTACCATTCTGAAGTTTCCTTCTCTTCCTCCTCACCAGTCCCAGGGCAGGATGGGGCAGGTCTCCCGGATCCCCAGGCTGTGCCCGTCCTGGCCGGGGTGCGCGGTGGGGAGCGGAGCGAGGTTCGGCTGCGGCGGGGTCGGGCAGCCGGCGGTGCTGAGCGCATCTTCGCTCGTTCTCACCCCTAAGTTACATTCAGACCTTTTTTGAGGGGGCAGTCTGTCTGCATGCTTCCCAAGGCAGACTCAGCGTTTGGATCTCTTTTATCTCTCTTTCACCTTCTTCCTTTCACACCTTACTGCCAATAGCACAGCATTAGAGGAGAGTTTTTAACAATTTTCCCAGACTCCTGTGTTGGAGCCTGTCATGTGGAGGTGTCTTTGCCTGAAGGAGTTTGCAGCATACAGTCAGTAGCTTTTCTCTCTCCATATTAGTAGTGAAGTATCTTTGCTTCTCTCTGTCTCACTGTTTCTGGGTTTTAGTTGCACCAAATCCTTTAACTGTTTCTCAAGATACAACATGTATTTTAAAACACAGAAAGTTGGATTTTGTCTATAGAGATGGTAAACCTTCCAGCTTTGCTAAGGAAAAGCCTGAGGGAGTATTGCATCTGGTGTGAAATTGCTCTGAGTATACTGTGTTTCCTGGCATTGTGTGTCTGCCAGATTTCTCCAGAGCTGATCAGCAGCTGAATGGATTGTTTAAAAGATAAGGCCAAAGATTGGACATAAACCTTTATATTAGTGTTGCATATCACTGAGGTTTTTCCTCTGAGGCTTAAACCATAATCCCTTTTAAGGCTAGAGGGCACTATGTTGCTGGGAGATGCACTCCTGTAAAGCTGAAGCTCTCATCTACCATGGAATTAAGCATCTTGTGACCAATTCATAAACTGGAAGTTTTAGGTCTTATGTCCTCTCAGGTTGCAGCTGGACCTGTGTGTTCAGTCTGTTATGCACTCTCTGCTTCCAGGTGGGAGAGATGGGAAAGGCTTCTTTGGTTTTTGCAGACTCTGCTCTGGACTGTGGCTGACACAGCTGCAGGGTGTTATCTCACACGAAAGGTGGTATCTTGGAAAGTATATCTGCCAGGCACCAAAATATACAAAAGAACTGGTAACAGTATCTTCCAGTCTCTTGGATTGCTAAGAGAAATTGACACTGTTCATTTCTTGTTTGCTGGAAAATTACCAGAAAACAAGGATTTAAACCCTGTGTTTACAGGATTTGAAAGAAAATATTTCCTGTGTTTACCTGTAAAATACATCTTTTTCCTTGATAATCGTTGTCATTGCATTTTAATAAACAGCAACCTAGACTATTCCAAGATCTCTTCAGTACTTCTAGTGGCAAAGTTGTTTCTTTGCCATCGCCCTTCTCACTGTACACCTTAACTGATATGCTCTTCTGTACAATAGTTCCACACCACTGTGTGCCCAGTTCTCAGCCCAAACCCCACAAACTAAAAGGTTTGTTTGGGTGATGAATGGTGTGTCTGCCTTTTGTCCCACTTATTTTCCATCTGTGGCTGTACAGTGTTCAGTACAATGGGGTCACTCTGTCATCTCTCACTGAGTGTGGACCCATCCTTTCAAAGAATTTAATTTCCTGGGTCTGACCCATTGGTTGCTGTTGCTTTAGTTCTGTGCTTTTTTTCTAACATGAAACGAGTATTTTCTTCTAAGGTTAATTTAAGCATCGCTTAGGATTTAGCTCTCTCCATTGCCTGTGGATAGTTTGGAGAGTGCAAAGCTTTATGTTCTTTGCTCTATGTGGCTTTGAAATATCAAAAAGCTTTTCTATCTCCAGCATCCATAAATGTCATCATGCCAAGCCTTCAGGCCATGCAAACGTGCCTTGGCATCAGATTAATGATGTGTTTCTCTGGTGGATGGTGACCCAGTGTTGCAGTTGTTTTAACATGACTCTCTCTCCTTTTAATTGTGATCTTTCAGGACCATAGTGGAACCTGGAGAGATGAAGGCACACCTTAGGCATTGTGAGCACGTGGAGAGGGCTAAATGTGAGTAGCACATAAGCCCCTGCACTGCTTGGCTTAGTTGCCAGGAGTCATTGCCTGGAGCAGGTGTCTTTCATGACATGAGCACAGCTTTTGTGGCTTTGAATAAAGAAAACTAAAGAAAGAAGACAGTTTTACATATCCTCTGCTATGATCCCGTGTGTGTGAAACTTCTGGAGAGTTTAATACCCCACTAGGGCTCTGCCTATGGGAATAGATTAAAATCTTGGCTCCAATGCTACTTGGTAGGAACCCAGTCAGCTCTCTACCCTCTTCTGGGAAATCCTTACTGGGGAAGGAGTCTGCAGTGCTTCCCTCTGCATCCTTCTCTGCAACTGGGTTCCACAACACCACCTGGCTGGCTGGGGGCCCTGGCTGGCAGCATGTGAAAGGATAAACAGAAGGTTGGATCAATAACCACATGCCTCGTGTATGGTATATCCCCAAGATAAGCTACTGCTGCTCTTAGAGCTTTTGACTTTCCAAATTAGTTTCTTATTTCTTCATACTGATGATCTTTTAAAAATTGATTTCCACTTGCTAATACTTGAAAAAATGTTAAATCTCCTTGCTTTCTCCCTTCCCTTTTCTTTTAACAAGAACAATATCAGGAAGGTCAAGTCTGGGTTTGTTGGAAAGACCCCTGATGCAACGGGGGTCACACATTGGCTGAGCAGTGCTGCAGTGAAGCTGGGTGGGTTAGGACAGTGCAGTTAGTAGTTGAAGGTGCCAGTTAATCATTCTAAAGAGAAGAAGCTGGTAGCAAAATCCAAATCACTTTTCCAGCCCCTGCTAAGCATTAAATAGTCAGAAACCCTCTTTTCTCAGTTGATGAGGGTTGATCTGTTTATGGGGTAGCTTCTCTGGCTTTTGGTCTGAAATTGTGTTTGTCTGAACTAAGCATGAAATGATCCCAAACCAGAAATTCTGTATTTCAAAGGATCCACTGTTGATGCTTACCTCCTTCAGCCATCCATCGTGGAGGTTAAAGAGGACACCTCCCCTCTCCTCCCCTCTCTCTGCTCCCAGCTTATCTTCAGGCAGATATCTTATCCTATACCCAAATGTCTATCTCCTTTAGCAGCCCTGCAGGGAGCCTCTGCCTGCCAGATGTGCTTGATCTTGCTCCCAGGGAGATGAGATTGGGTTTGCACCTTCACCTGTTCACTGCTTTGCAGACCTGGGTGATGGCAAACATTCATTAGAAGCCAGATGAAGAGGATCCCCACCCCCTCTCTTCTGCTGGGGACTGAGCACTTACTGATGTGCATTATCTCACCAGACATTTATATGCTTGAGGTAATTTCTGAGGTCTCTTAAGTGTGCCTGTGTTATCCCAAGGGCAGGGATGGATGCATCAGTAGAGATTTTCTCTTTCAGCACTGCTCTACTCCTGTTTCAGCTGGGCTTTGTGTGTTTTTCAGCTTTGTCCAGCACAGAAGTAGAGTAAAATGCTCTTGGCTTACAAGTGGCTGTTCTGCCTCCTTCCAGTTAGACTGAGATGCACTGCTGATTTCAGTCATCTGAGATGCCTGTATACTGTCCCAGTTCCTCCCCAGGGTAGTTGTTTCCTAATGCCACCTCTGAATGCCTCGAGATCTCTTGTAGGAACGTTCCTGCTGCATGGATGTGGTTGCTGACCTCCTCGAGGTACTGGCATTGCTGACTTTTAAGGGACTGAGTTCTGCTGTGTAGGGTTTCAGCACTGCTCCCAGGAGAGCATGAGTGTGCTTGTCACAAATGGCCTGTTGTAAAATGCCAGCATGCTTTGAAGAAAAATCTTGTACTGCTAGGGTCAAGCTCTGATCCTTGTCTCTTAGCTGCTCCTGCCTTTACTCCTCAGACCCAAGCAACTGCAACATGATCAGGCATCTTCATGGCTTTATTCTCTTTGCTGCAAGCTGCTGTTCATACAGTGGCCAGCACTGATGGGGAGAGTCTGGACATGGTTTAGTGGCAAGGATCTTTGCTCCTGTGTTAGTATACCCTGGAGAAGGAATTGCTACCCTGGGAGAGGGAGCTGAATTCCCCCTGCTTGGCTCATCAAGTGAGCTGTCCCATGCAACTTGAGGCTGCTTCAACGCATCCAGGGAGCCCAGCAGATCAAGGAGCACTCCCAGTTCTTTCTTCCAGCAGAGCTTTGGGCTGGGAACATTCAGCCAAGAGACAGTGGTATCTAACTTCAACATTTTGCAAAGCAAATGGCTGTCTCCAGCCTTTGGAAAAGATTATCTATCAGCAGAGAGGCAAGGTAGTTGTCCTGATGTGTGGTGGTCAGGGGCAGGATTAAATAATCTGGAGGCTTTGTGTCCCAGCAGGCTGCCTGCACTGGCTCCCCTGTGGTTGAGTCTGCTGGCTGGGCAGCTGAATGAAAGTTCAGGGAAAAGCTTTTAGCAAGTCCATGAGCTGGGGACAACAGATTCTAAGCCTCCAAGTTCCATTGTAAAAACGATGAAGATGCTGCTATTGGCTTTCACTGGGACTTGGTTGCCAGGGTGATGATGTCCTAAGAGACAGCACAAATGCTGTTGGCTGCTGCAGCTGCAAGTGGCCTCTGACTTCACGAGAGCCCTGCCTGGGTTCAGTGTGTGGGTGCTGGAGACCACTGGTGCAATTCAGCTTGATGGGTGGTAGTC